TGTGCCTCCGCAGGCTGTGCGACAGCCTCAGCCGTGTCCCTCCCGTGCCGTGGCAGCGGCGTGAGCCATGTCCCCCCACCAGGCTGAGCCCTCCCCCGGCTTTGGTGCCCTGGCTCCCCGTCGTCCCGGGTCTGACCACGACACCTCCCAGGCCCTGGCAGCATCTGACACACCCCGGCAGAAGCAGAGACGCGCAGGCAGGGAACGTATGTGACGCGCAGGCAGGTAACGTATGTAATCCAGATATATTTATAGGATTATTTTCCAAGAGTAGCACAGGATATTAGAAAGGTTATAAAGTCACATCGACGTTTGTTGTCTCCCTTTTATGTACATACAAGAACACAGCACAACAACACAGACCATCCTCTGCCCTGCCCCGCTGCCGCCCCATGGCGTCTCCAGAGCTCCCTACAAGTATGGCTTTCGTGTCTATTGAGAGTTCAGTGCTGGCTGAGAAGCAGCCAGAGCCTCGCTGGGGCCAGTGAATGGGAGCGAGCGGGCCTGGCTGCGAACAATGGCCACAAGGTCCCGAATCCTCCTCGCTCCCCCAGCGTCAGCCCTGGCTGTGTCCCGGTTTGGATGCGCTGGGCCCAGCATGAGTGACCGTGGTGGCAGAGAGCGGGCATGGGCCTGGAGGTCCCCTGCCTGCATGGCCAACGAGGACCCCCCGCTCCCAAAGGGGCCAGCAAGGCCCAGGGTGCTGGGTGGTACCCTGGGCTCTCCCAGCCACGTGGTGACACTGCCCAGCCTTGCAGGGAGGGACAGGAACCCAGTGTCCCCTCTCCTCGGTGACAGCGTGTCCCTCACGTCACTGCCCCAGCAGCACCACCTGCCCCATCGCTTCTTCCACCCCGCAGTGTGGCGCATCCACCATCAGCGACACCACGTCCCCCGTTGCCTCCCCATGCCGCTGACGGTGTGTGGTGTCACCCCCAGGCCAGGGTGTAGCTTCCCACTCCTTCACGAAACTCACATCTTGTACATGACATGGTGTACCCAACCATCCTGGACAGCCCCAACCTGGTGTACCACAGCGCTGCGCACACGTACAACAGGATGTGCCGTGGACCCAACGCAGGGTGTACCCCACCACCGCCCCCCCATCACCCTAACAAACTTACGGTGTAGTGCAGCTCACGACCGACACCCATCATGCCCTCACTCATGGCTGTTCCTGTTCCTCTGCACACCTGTGACACAGCGTATTCATCACCCCAAAAGACTCAACACAAGAGTGTACCCTGCCATGCCCCCGGATTCCCGAAGCAGCATTTTCCACCGCACCTCGCACCCGTGACATAACCTAGTTATTCATCAGGGCCTCAAACTCACAAAGTGGTTTCTCCATCATGCTCACACGACATGGTGTGTCCCATCACACCTTCAACTAGCGGCACAGTGAGCGCACCATCACTGCACCTTCCCGCATGGTCACGTGTCCCACCACAGCCTCACAATGGTGTCCCCATCACCCCTCGTGCTCATCCCACAACATGTCCCTCTTCATGGGAAGGGGGGACCTGGTGTATCTGTCACCCCTCACCCGTGACAGTCTCCATCACCCTTGCGCCCATGGCAGTGGGTCCACCGCTCCCTTGCGTCTACCAAAGCCCTCCGGCTCTTGCCTGCAGACGCAGTCTCACCTTCATGCTCCCACCCCTCCCGAGACCTGTGACACCTGAGGCTGTAGCTCAGCTTCTCGCCATAGCTGTAATCAGCACAACAGGCCCACCCAGGCTGAGACCCGGCCCATCCTCTGCTGACATCCGCTGCAGGCAGCAGGTCCCACTATGACACCATGCCTCGACCTCCCTGTGCCGCATCCTGCGGTATCCCATACTGTGCATCACCTCAGAAAGGTCAAATCCTGACTTGTCTCACCAGGGCAAAAGTGGCAACCACCGGCACCAGCCTGTGGAGCAGCAGCGCTGGGAAGAACCAGCCACGGCTGTGCCCACGCTGCCTCGAAGGGGCACAAACCTCCCTGTCCGACCTCAGCTCCCCACTCCCTTTCCCTAGGGACCAGTTAACCCCCTTCCCTCCCAGACACTCAGGTTGTGGCTTTCTTTGTAACAATCTCTTGTACGTAAACTTACAACAAGATTAAATTGTACTTGAAAACACATCCTTGCATTTTTATTTGAAGGAATTATGTCTATTCAATAGTGGATGTTAAAGATCTTCAGCAAAGCATCAGGTCGCACATTCATACATGCTCAGTGTGCAGTGGTTAACAGCATCAACATCTGCAGTGTTATCTTCAGCAGCAACAGTTGCATCCCTCGAAATGAGCTCGGAGCTACCGTTAGGACTCCAGGCCAATGTTCTCCTCCAAAGAGAAGGGCAGGGAGGAACAACATCGAGAAAACCGTAGGTTTTCTTTGCCATGTATGACGAAGGCTTCATGCACTTCTCTCCTGAGGTGCTAACACCCTGCTGCCTGTGTGCTCCTGACACACAATTTAGCCACGGTGAACCTAGTCACATCTGTGCACATGCCACAAGTGTGTTGCTCATTCACACCCAGTGCCTGCCACCCAGCCATGCCTCTTCTTCCTCATCTGCTTGTCCCCAGCCCCCTTCCAGCCCCGCTCTCTGTGATGGCTTCCCCGTAGGCATCCTCCTTGTGCCATGTGCTCGCAGGGTCTGGATGGGAGCGACATTACCTGCCCCATGGGCACCTGGTACCCCACAGCAGAGGACACAAGCTCTTCCTCTGCCTCCAAGGTGAGGCTACCCACACCACTCAGGTCTTTTGCCCCTTCCGGAAGTGCTCTCCTCCTCCACACAACCTGAAACTGAAGGGGTGCCCAGCTGAAGGGGGGCTCCTGCAAACCCCTTGTGTCCAGACCAAGAGATGCTGGGATCCTGAGAAGCTGGAAAACCTCATCCTGAGGATGAGGGATGGGGTCTGGCTCCCTGCGAGGTGTGGGGTGTCCTGCAGATGCTGGAGTGCATAGCCCCCTGCAGCCCCATCCTCTGGGTGGGTGGTTGGGGTAGGCCAAGCAGACCCTGGGGACATGCTGGAGAGGTTGGGAAAGCTTCTTGGTTTTGTCTTGGAAGAGATAGTGAAACAGGTAGGGTAGGTAGGTAGGGCAAGCCCCCCCCCAAGCCTTCTTGGAGACCCCTGAACTATCAAGACTAACCCTGGGCATTTTGGCCACTGTTGGCTGCAGCCCTCGGGGGGCTGCAAGAGGGAAAGGGCCTCTTCCAAGCTCAGACCTGCCCTGGGAAAGGGCCAGAGAGGGAAGTGGGGCAGACAGCTCCAGGAAGCAGAACCCAGTGGAGCCCCTCTCTGCACATGTCACGGACCAGAGGAATCCCAGGCCTTGTGCTGTTCTGGGTTGCGGGTTTTCTCCAGCTCAGCTCCTGTGGTGCCACTGGCAGTGTCAGCTCTGGTTGAAGCCACCCTCGGGCTCTAAACCACCTTCCCGGAGGCTCTGGGGGCCCCAGAGCCAGCCCAGTGAAGAGGGAAGTGGTAAGGGCCACAGGCCCACTGGACCTCCCGGCTCTGCCCGGTGCTCCCAGCACAGGTGGCCTCCTGCACTGAACATCTCAATAGATGGTTTAAATTGACATTTCCAATCTGAGAATTTGTGAAGTTGGGGCTTCTTCTCTGGATTCACCCCCAAACCTCTGCCCCCCCGCTTCCTGCTGGGGTGGGACTGGGGAGCCACAGTGCCCGGCAGCTCCCAGTCTCTCTGGGGGCCTCAGCAGTTCCCACCCTGGAAGCTCACCCCCCCTTCACACATCTACTGCACAAGGACAGCTCTCCTCCCGAATGGACACTGTTTGACAAGAACCACCAAGGATAAAATCAGGGCAGGGGCCCGGGGTCCCTCACTGCTCGATCCCAGCTGCATGCCAAGTCCTCGGAGGCAGAGACGCTGCCCGGCGGTATCCTGCTCCTGTCCTGCTAGTCACGCTCCCTGTCCCAGCTGGGGCCATCACGCAGCAGCCGAGGCTGGGGGAAACAATGGGAATGTGGGTCTCAGCGGGAGGCACGGGGTGAGCGTTTGTGACAAAGGGGCTGCCCAGCTGTCCCGAGCTTGCACCAGAGCCTGGAGCTGATTTTATCCTTGGATGTCAAAGAAACCAAAATGGAGAGAAACAAAGAAAAGAGCTACATCGACCCCAGCCCAACATCCCAACCAAGAACCCAAAGCAAAGAGCAGCCACGAAACCAAAGCAAAGTCCAAAGGAAGAAGGAAAGTCGCTCACTCACTGGTTGGTCTGTGTTTTGCGTGAGCACCAGTCGCAGGGATGGAGGTGCAAGCAAGCAAACGGGGCCAGGGCTTTTGCTGTTCGTAGTAATAACGTTTTGTACAAGTTCAAGAAGAAGTATCATGTCTCAGGCTGGTCACTCTCTGCTCTCTGTCCCGCCATCCCTCTGTCCGTCTGTCTGCCCGGGCCGGGCGCGAGAGAAAATCTGTCGGGTTGAGTGGGGTTTGTGGTCTGGTTTCCGTTTCCATCTGGGTCTGCTAGCTCCATTTTCTCACTCCCTCCGACATCCCTAGATGAAATACTCTTTCTTGTCATCACCACCGGCTTGGCCGCCCTCTGCGTTGATGATGGCCGTGTCAGCATCTGGGGCATCGTCCGACCCCTTGGCCTCATGGGTCAGGTAGGTACCTGGGTGGGGAGAGTCAGTGTCATGGGGGGGCCCTGCTGGCACCCCGCTCCCACACAAGCAGGGAGAGGCTGGGCTGCCTGGAGCGGCCCCAGTGGCAGAGCCTGAGGGCTGGCTGGAAAGCAGAGGTGCGAGGGAAGTCCTTGGGTTTGGCCTGAAATGGAAGAGTCACCACTGGTTTCCCTGGGACAAGCCCTGCCCAGAGATCGAGCCTCGCCTGGGCTGCTCAAGACTTTTGCAGTCGTCTCTACCCAAAGGGTGAAACTGCTTCCTCCTTTGCAGGCAGCAGCCCTTGCCTGCACTTCCAGGCACGGCTCCTGCCCTCCCCACTGCATCCCTGTTCCTGTTCCCCCCTCAGAAAACTGGAGGGTTTCTCTGCAAAACTGCCATCTGCAAGGAGGCTCCAGCTCGCGGCTGCCCCTGGAGCCAGCACGGCGTGGGGCAGGGGCAGCAGCTCCGCTGGGCTCAGAGGGCAGGGATGGGGGGGCTCTTACTCACACATCACCTCTGCTGGGTTTTGCCGATGTCTGGATGTGACCGTCTCCCCATGTCTTATGCACATACCTGCTGGGCGGATGAAAAGTCCAGGGATGGGGAGATGGAAGCGGTGCAGGGGAAGGAGGAAGAAGGTGGAGGGCTCGAGGGATGGTGAGGAGGGCAGGGAGAGGGAGGAGGTGGGGTCAGGCAGATGGGACAGTGGCACGGGCAGTCCTGGGGTGGTGGGTACCAAGCATGAAGGAGAGATGGAGAAATGGGGTAGCAGCTGCCTCCACCTGGTGCTGCCCCACTCCAAGGACTCACCGAGACATCTCCACACTACGGTCAGGGCCACCACGGGCACAGGCAGCAGCCCCAAACCCAGGAGGATTGCACTGGCCATGCTTTCTCCAGACACAGGGCAGGTCTGCAGGACAGGGAGCTGCCTCCCTTCACCCCTGCCCCATGCTGCCCACTCGCTTCGGGGATGTAGCCCTGCTCCCAGAGACCGACTAAGGGGGAGCACGCCCTGCGCTGCCTGCTCCAATGCAGCATGGGGTCTTGGCTCTATGCCTGCCCCCCCCGAGCAGGTACCCCACCCCATACCTTTGTGTCTGATCAGGTAGTGTCCCAACACGATGAGAAGACTGAGCAACAGGAAGACAATGACGGCAACCACCCCGCCGATCACCGCATGGTACGTGCTGGAGGTTGAGGGTACCGGGCTGGCATCTGCCCAAACAGCAAAGGGAGAGAAAACAGAGAGAAGGAGATGCTGTGGACCCTGAGGACCCTGCTGTGCAGGCAGAGGCTGCTGCTTGTCCCACGAATTGCTCAGGGCTGCAGGCGCAGGCCTTGGAAGGCCTGATCCTGCTCGCTGGGTGCCATCAGCTCGATCCTGCTGCAGATGAGAGCTGTCAAGGTGGGAGCAAGAAAAGTGAAGGCAGTGGGGGAAGCAAGGAGGGGAAAGCAATGGCCATCGGTGCCTGCTCCTGCAGACAGTGAGCTGAGGGGAGCCCTGCCTGGGTGAGAGGGCAGCTGAGAAGAGCTGCGATGGGCAAACCCATCCCTGTGCCCGGCTGCCTATGATGTGCCCCAGGGAGCAGCCCCGGCAACATGCTCTGCGCAGTCCACAGTACCTCTGCCTTCAGGCACAGCCATGATCCCATCGCCCCCATCCTTCACGGTGGGAATTTTTGCCCCAAAAGGGGAGGCTGAGCACACGGCAGAGCCAGGCTTGGCTCACTCTTCCCCTGTGCCGTGCCAGCAGGAAGATGATGGGCAGGCTGGCATGGCCACACGCTGCACCCTAGAAGGTGATGGCACCCTAAGGAACGTGAGACCCCAAGGCCAGTCCCAAGTCAGTCGCATTGTGTAGCACAGCCTGTGCTGGGATCCTGCGTTAGTCCTGGTACACAGGGACAAATCCTCCTTCCACTCCACTCCACTCTCATTGTGCCCCATCAGCTCAGGGGAGACAGAACCACAGAATTCAGAGGCGGTGTTCAGACAAGACGGGGTGCGAAAGGCAACAGGACAGAGGGACGACATCTCACATAGACACAAGGTTGTAGCTCACAGGAAGCTGCTGCCACAGCCTGCCAGGAAGAGCTGGAAGGACCATTATGCAGCCAGGCACTGGAGCCTCGGCTCTTTCTGTTACGTACCACCACCTCGAAGTGCCGAGATGGTGGCTGCAGAGTCTACACACGCCAACGAGCAGCTGCACAGGGACTGGAGCCTGGCTGAGCACCTGGGATGTGGCAAGGGTGTCCCTGGCCCAGGGTTGGGCCACCATCCTCCTGTGGAACTTCTCCCGCTGAGCTGGGGAGCAGCGGGTCCATAAAGAGAGAGAAAAGGAGCTTACGGTACCTTGGATGGGAGCTGGAGTGAAGGATGAAGCGGTGGCCATGGAAGCATGAGAGATGGGCTGGGAAGGGCCCGGCGGAGGGGCTGGAGTGGAGTGAACGTGTGGGGTGGGGAGCTGGGAAAGATCTGGGGAGGACAACAAAAACACAGGGACACGAATCAACCCTGGGAGGCGATTGTGAACATCTGCTGTGAACATCTTGCCCCATCTTCTACTCTGCCAGCACCCCTGGTCACCCCTTCCTCCATGAGGGACCCCACTGGGACCCTCCTGCCTAGCAGCCCAGGGACTGCAGTGGCTGGAAAGTGTCACCCACCATGAGGTGCCATCTTCACTTTCCTATGCACACTCTCAGGGATTGCTCCGTCCCTCCTCTCCCTTGCTGCTGAGCAGGGTGGTTGCTGAGGCAGGCAGGCTCAAGGGCTCAGCCAGGCAAGGTGGCTGCTCCAGTGATGGTGCCCGCGACCTGAGTGGCTCTGGGGAAAAAGAGGGGGGATTTGACAAGGGGAACCAAGCCTAGATGTCGAGCTCCTCTGCCAGGGGCTGTTACACCAAGCAGGTGAGGGACACTGGTGTTCTGGGTGCTCACGGACAGTTTTGAACACCCTAGATGCTGCTGTGAGCCTGCAAGTGGGTGCTGAGCACCCTGGGGGCTGTTGTGCTCCTGGATGGGTGTGGAGGTCTCTGGGTGCTGCTGTGTGCCCACAGCTGGGCTTAGGAACCAGCTTCCTCTGCAGACCCCACACCCAGGGAGACAGGAAGGGTTACAAGGGGTGACGAAGGAATGACTGCAGTTGGGCATTTAGGGGCTCACCCTGGGCAGGCAGGAGAGGAGAGGGACTCCAGGGGACAGGGTGCCCAAGGTACCATTGCCGCCATGCTCTCCCTCTACCCACAGCCATGTTGGAGGGGAAGGATGCCAAGAGTGCCCAAAACAGGATGGGAGGGAAAGGGAACAAGAGAGAGAAGAGCTGGAGCATGTAAGAGTGTTGGAAGATGGTAAGTCCAAGGCTGGTAGAGAGGAGACCGATAGCAAGATATTTGGCAGAAGAGGAGGATAACCTGAACTCCAAGGCCAAAACTGCAGGGAAACAGGCTCCTACCAGCATGGGAAAGCTTCCAGGCAAGGGAGACAGGGCAGCACCACCACCAGCCTGGGACAGTCTGGAGAAGCACTTGCAGTCCTGCGCAACACACAGCTCTGCTCCATGTGTGACACATGGCGCTTAGACATAGCGGGATATGACGACGGCAAACACAGGAGCAGACCACAGCCAGGGCAGGTGGAGGCAGCAAGGAGACAGCACCATGCAGAGAGGCAGTGGGTGCTGCCCCTTCTCACTTCAGAAGGGGTGCCGAGTGGTGATACCCTCTGGGGACACAGGATGCAATGCAAGCCTGCAGCTCCAGCAGCTCAGGGCAAGCCACAGGGCCTGTCTCCAGAAGTTTGGGACAGGGCTACTAGGGCACCTCATGGTTTGGAGGGGTCAGCACCATCTGGAAATCCTCTGGCTCGTGGCAGTGACACACAGAGGCTTCCTGCCTGTGGTAGGCTTAGGAGCACTGGCCTTTCCTCCTGTCCCAGACTCCAGCAGAGTCCTGCCTGATGCCCCTGCAGTTCCCCCATCAAACCCTCTCCCAGGCCCCACTGGAAGCAACAGGGTCTGAGCTCAGCCATGCCATATCCCTGTCGTGACCCCCCCAAACTGCCGTCTGCCCTTCTCAGCCCCAAGCAGCAGCCCTGCACAGTGCAGGGAAAGATGGGGGGGCTGGATGTGTCCAGAGGAGCTGGGGATGCGGTGCTCTGCAGGCACACCAGGAGCCAGCTGCATGCATGCACCTGCCCTGCATCCAGCCCCCTCCCACCTCAGCCCTCCCTGGATCCATGCACCCCTTCACAGGGAGATGCAGCTGGGATGGAGGCGGCTGTGTCAGCCAGTGGCTGCTGGGAGAAGCCAGGTGATGCCAGGTGCCCTGCTTACCGCTGACATCGAGGTTGTACTTGGCCACAACGCTGCCCATGGAGCTGGTGGCCGTGCAGACATAGGTGCCGCTGTCGCTCTTGTTCAGGAAGGGGAAGATGAGGACACTGTCGGAGCTCAGCTGCAGGGGCGCGTCGCTGCCCTCCTTCTCCCACAGGAACTCCTGGGGGCTGCAGAGCAGGATGACGGTGAGGCACCGGCACCCTCCCCAGCACCCTGGGCAGGCTGGGGCAGAGTGAAGTCCCTGGCTGGGCCGTGGAGGGAGCAATGAAGGTGTGGGAGTATTTAAGCAGGAGGAAAATACCCCATTTAGAAATGAGGCGGAATGGATCTGCTGCTCCAGGGAGAGGACAGGGGCTTTGCCTGTTCTACATGGGGTGCTCAACCCTGCTCGGCATCAATGCAAGGCCAGTGCCCGGTCCTGAGTTCATACAGTGCTATCTGCAATGCCGTGCCTGAGCTCCGGGGAAGGCTAGGTGGTGGTTTTGAGAGCCTCGCAGTAGGAGGATGAGTTGGCCAGGGCCTGGCAGGGACACGCAGGAGGAAGGCGATGGGGGAGCCTTACATGGGGTTGCCCTGCCCGTCGCACTGCAGCTGGAGCTTCTCGCCTTCCCGCGGGTACTGGGGGTGCGGCTCGATCTTCGCTGTCGGCTTGTCTGAAAAAGGAAGAGAGGCACAGTTAGGTGACCGCATGTCCTTACCCCACGCTGTGCAGGGGCCTGTCGGCACCCCAAAAACCCTGTCCCAGCACCCTGCCTGGGCCCCAGCTCCGCGTGTGCAGCGTGAGTGCACCTGTGGGTGTTAGGGTGCCCTGGCATGTGGGTTGGTACTCTGGGGGTGCACAGCGCAGCTCCCACACCTTGCATGTCCCCTCTAATGACAGGGTGAGGGACAGTAAGAATGGGGACAGGCAGGACTGGGAGATGGTGCTGGCAGGTAGCAGGGCAGAGCACAGACAAGTCTCAGGGAGAGGGGGACAGGCAGGGGAAACCGAGGGTGTGCGTGCACAGGGGAAGTGTCGCTGTGCAGTGCCCCTACATGTGACAGGACCACTACGCATGCAGGTCAATGAGCCTGTATGCATGATGGCTGTACGTACACGTAAATGTGTGTGAGGTCTGCTGAAC